CCGAAGACGGCGTACCAGTAGAGCACGCTGTCGACACCGCAGTTCGTACGGACGTGCGCGATGAGAACGGCGTGGAAGTGTTGAATAACCACGATCTAGCTGGCGAAGACACACCTCTGCTCAAGAAGGATGACAAACAGCCATCTCGTGGCTGGCTGGGTCGACTGCTACCCTCGAAGCGCTGAGTCTACCCTCTGTTTACATTTCTTTTCATTGGGATTTCGATCTGCTTTACATTACGTGTATCATACGGACCAGCCTATACCATATTGCTTTTAGTACTTACTACCTTTACGTGCATTTGATATATCGTCTTCGTGTGAGCTCGCGTGGACGACGCATATTCGCGTGTCGAGCGCCTACCATTCCTCCACTGCGACGTCGACCTGCTTCACGCTGCTCACCAGGTCGACCACCACCGTCCATAACAACCACGGCCCCAAGTCGGCGCATCTCCAGGCCCTGTACACTCTCCAAGCCCGACGTGCTCTACGACATACTAGACTTCAATTTCGCTTGACGCCATGGCAAGCCTGATTGCCATCCTCGATCTCAAGGGCAAGCCACTCATCCAACGGTCCTACCGCGACGATGTCCCGCCAAGCTACATCGAGAAGTTCCTGCCCATCATCCTTGAACTGGAAGAGGACAACCAGCAGGTCACGCCGTGCTTCACGCGGGAAGGCGTGAACTACATGCACATCCGACATTCGAATCTGTATCGTGCGTAACGGTTGTCGTTCGACTATGTGTCTGCTAATCTTGCTACTGATGCACTGCAGTACTTGCGCTATCGAAACGCAACTCAAATGCGGCGGAGAGCATCCTGTTCTTGCACCGTCTCACACAGGTGCTCGTCGAGTACTTCAAGGAGCTCGAGGAGGAGTCCATCCGGGATAACTTTGTAATCATCTACGAATTATTGGACGAGATGATGGACTTTGGTTTCCCTCAAACGACGGAGAGCAAGATTCTCCAAGAGTATGTCTTGCTCTACTCGCTCACGCGTGGACACTGAGACTGACCTTGTCGTTAGATACATCACACAAGAATCGTACAAGCTCGAGGTCCAAGTACGACCACCGATCGCAGTCACAAATGCGGTGTCATGGCGTTCAGAAGGCATCCGGTACCGCAAGAACGAAGTGTTCCTGGACGTTATCGAGAGTGTCAACCTACTAGTGCGTTCTTCACCGACTCCCTACAACCAACTTTCCCTCATGTGTTTGCTCAGGTCAACGCAAACGGCAACGTCGTACGATCTGAAATTCTGGGTGCTATCAAGATGAAATGCTATTTGTCCGGCATGCCCGAGCTGAGGTTAGGCCTGAACGATAAAGTGATGTTCGAGAGCACGGGCCGCAGTACGTCTCACCATACGTCGTATTGGTTATGTAGGCTGAACCTGTGGTACAGCTTCACGAGGCAAGGCGATTGAGATGGAGGACGTCAAATTCCACCAATGTGTCCGGTTGTCACGCTTTGAAAACGACCGCACGATATCTTTCATCCCGCCAGATGGCGAGTTTGAGCTCATGTCCTACCGGCTTTCCACACCTGTGAAGCCACTTGTCTGGGTCGAAGCGGCGGTACGTATTGTTTCACGGTCCCGTATCAGGGTCTGATCATCATGCATCCCCCGTATAGGTCGAACATCATAAAGGCAGCCGAGTAGAGTACATGGTAAAGGTCAAAGCGCAGTTCAAGCGGAGAAGTACCGCCAACAACGTCGAGATCTACGTACCTGTACCCGATGATGCCGACACACCCAAGTTCAGGGTAAGCATGTCTGCTATCAACATTTCCAGTCGACTTACGGTGCCGTAGGCGTCGACTGGTAGCGTACAATACGCCCCTGACAAGTCCGCCTTCGTTTGGAAGATCAAGCAACTCGGCGGCGGTCGCGAGTTCCTCATGCGTGCGCACTTCGGCCTGCCGAGCGTCCGCGGAGGTAAGTCCCGCCCGCCCCTCCCGCGCACACGACCCGTCTGAGGCTGACCGCGTTGAGCTGCAGACCAGGAGAGCCTGGACAAGCGCGCCCCGATCACGGTGAAGTTCGAGATCCCGTACTTCACCGTGTCGGGCATCCAGGTACGGTACCTCAAGATCGTCGAGAAGAGCGGGTATCAGGCGTTGCCGTGGGTGCGGTACATCACGCAAAATGGGGACGATTATAGGTGCGTCGCGCGGGCTTTTGTTGTGCTGTGTGGCACGGTGGCTGATTGGTGTGTGTAGCTTGCGGACGGCGCATGAAAAGGGCAGTAGCGCACCCATTGCGCCGATGTGATTTCACGATTGTAGCCTTATTTATGACATTACGATACCTCGACATACATGATAAGGAATTTACTGGATAGCACTTTAGCGGATGCGTGATACGTCGCGCCATGTCTCGACCAATCGTCCGATAACGATGCTATGCAACGTTGTGCGGAGCAATTGCTCGTAAAGCTGCAGCGTCATTTTGTGAAGACCTATCTCATGCTCTCATACTTGATGAACTCTGAACGCTTCGAGACTTGGGTTCCGCAGCGTGAAAGTAAAGCGACCTGTCGCATCTGCCACGCGTCGCGGTCGCGTGTCTACGCGTCTTCGACGCGCCCTCTCATATATTCGTCCGCACACACTCTACCAACCCAATCTCCTCATTGCCCGCCTTGGCACCGCCCGAAAAGAGGCCGAGCCGCCTATGCGCTTACCGCCCGCTGCTGACCGCGCCGCGCGCGCAGGCCGACGCCTGTCTCTCTCCTTCCACATGCACACCGGTCCCGCATCCGACATAGCCAGTCCCTGTGCCGACCCGCCTCCTTGACTCTCACTCTGACCTTGAGCTTGAGCTTAGCCTTAGCTTTGACTGCACCCGCGACCACAAGGACCGACCACACGATTTAGACGACCCAGGGACGAGGTGCGGCGCTTGGAGCACTGGCATGGCGAGCCTCATCGCAATCCTCGACCTCAAGGGCAAGTCGCTCATCCAGCGGTCGTACCGCGACGATGTCTCCCCGACATACATTGAGCGGTTTCTATCGTACATCCTCGAGATGGAGGACGAGGGCACGCAGGAGGTGCCGTGCTTCTCGCGTGAGGGCGTGAACTACCTGCACATCCGACATTCGAATCTATACAGTGCGCTCTCCCTCTACCTCTGTCTTCGTGCTGGGTTTCCTAACTTTGGGCTTCCTGTGAGCGTGCAGTCGTAGCGCTATCGAGAAACAACAGTAATGCGGGGGAAATCATCCTGTTTCTACACCGGCTTGTGGGGGTGCTGATGGGCTACTTCAAGGAGCTTGAAGAGGAGTCAATACGGGACAACTTTGTGATTATTTATGAGCTGCTGGACGAGATGATGGACTTTGGGTACCCGCAGATTACGGATGGGAAGATGCTGCAAGAGTGCGTAATGATACCGTACTTGTGCACGATGATGTACTTGTCCCGCTGACTTTTTCATCTTAGATACATTACACAAGAATCATACAAGCTCGAGTCAATGGCCCTCGCACGGCCGGTCACAGACGTCACGAACGCCGTATCTTGGAGATCGCAGGGTATCAAGTACCGCAAAAACGAGGTGTTCTTGGACGTGATAGAGAGCGTGAATCTCTTGGTGCGCGGAACCCTACCAAGCTGCTATGTGCTGCGCACTCATATGCCGATGCGATACCCGTCATGCAGGTGAACGCGTCAGGAGTGGTCGTGCGATCCGAGATCCTTGGCGCGATCAAGATGAAGTGCTACCTCTCGGGGATGCCAGAGCTGCGGCTCGGCCTGAACGACAAGGTCATGTTCGACACGACGGGGCAAAGTGCGTGTCCTTGATCCTCCTGCCTCCTGATATTTCACGGATATTGCCATTATCTTGGGCACTGCTAGCTGCGCGCGGCCGCGCGATCGAAATGGAGGACGCCAAGTTCCACCAGTGCGTGCGGCTGTCGCGCTTCGAGATCGACCGCACGATATCCTTCATCCCGCCCGACGGCGAATTCGAGCTCATGTCGTACCGAATATCGACGCCCGTCAAGCCGCTCGTCTGGGCCGAAGCGACCGTACGTACCCCGCTCTCTCCGCCGCCCCCGATCCCAACACAGACCGATCCCTCCTTGGCAGGTCGAGCAGCGCGGCAGCCGGCTCGAGTACCTCGTCACCGTCAAAGCGCAGTTCAAGCGCAAAAGCAGCGCGTCTGAAGTCGAGATCGCCGTCCCCGTCCCCGAAGACGTCGACAGCCCCAAGTTCCGCGCGGCGAGCGGGCGCGCGACGTACGTGCCCGCGCGCGCCGCGTTCGTGTGGAAGCTCAAGGGCCTCGCGGGCGGGAGCGAGTACCTCCTCCGCGCGCACTTCGGGCTGCCGAGCGTGCGCGGCGAGGCGGAGGCGGACCCCGCGAACGCGCCGCATAAGCGCACGCCGATCACCGTCGAGTTCGAGATTCCGTACTTTACAGTGTCGGGGATACAGGTAAGGTATTTGAAGGTGGTGGAGAAGAGCGGGTACCAGGCGATGCCGTGGGTGCGGTACATTACGCAGAATGGGGACGACTATAGGTGCGTGGTGGGTATGCTGCGTGTGTTGTTGCGGGCTGACGTTTGGTGTCTACACAGTTTGCGGACGGCTGTGGACAACGGCGGGGCACCGCTGGCAGCCCTATGAAGAGGCTTGTCTGTATCTTAGATGCGCCACACGAAGCTGTATTCTACGGATCTAACCCTTGTATATTGGCTGCTACGCTCAGACGGACCCCAGAGTTTTGCAGCGTGCGCTGCTACGAACTATAATGTTTCAGAACGTACATGTAAGCTGAGTCTCCTCTACCAATGACGCGACGAACATTCTTCAGATTCCCCAGAAGTCCCAAGGGCTACCGAAGCAGTTCGCTGATGTCTCGTTAAGTCTGTCTTTATTCCCTTCGCTGATCCCAACCAACGCCACTCATGAGATTGTTACAGCCTCAGTAGCTGCAGATTCCTGGAGCAGAATGCATTTGCAAGACATACGAGTATCATGCTGATATGGCCGAGTCGTTAAGGCGAGTGATTCGAATTTATATCCCGGAAACTGGGTTATCACTTGGGCGTTGCCCGCGTAGGTTCAAATCCTACTGTCAGCGATGGGTTTTCCTATAGTACTGTTTTGCTTTTGACGACAGAACAAACAATAAAGTTTAAAACCTTAAACAAGTTGTTTTGACACCTTTTCAGACTTTCAGGCAAATGTTTTGACAGTCTGCTCTTTGGCCCTGTTCATGTCAAGAAAGAAATTCAGTCATCGTAAGTGGCTCGTCATTCGTAATTTTCGGACTCTGTTATTGACTTCGACTGCTGGAGGTCACAGCACGGCACGTATGATGCGTGGACGCCCGGGAGTCTTGCCCCTCAAATCCAAGGCGCTGTAGCGCCGGGCTAGTATTTGTAGACTCTGAAACCACTGCAAGCGCAAGCCATCGATGTACGTCTGCTGGTGTCAAATCTTCAACGTGCTAACGTATGCATTTGTTCACAGGTCGGTATCGTGTCGTCTAGTGTTCAGACTCCACTGGCAATGCCTGTCGGTTCGACATCGATGCTACACGCAAACTGCGCAGATTGTAGTGCACGTAGAATGTGCACGCAGAATGTTCAAGCGTGACCATACCCTCTGCGATACGTCTTCTCGTACCTTCTCCGCTTGGCTCCTGAGAGCGTGACGAGCCCGCTGAGGGACTTGCAGCGTCGCGGTTGACACCGACGCTGGCAAGGCAGGAATAACACAGTCCTTGCTCTTTGGAGCCCAAGCCAACTCACCGCAAGCTCACCGCCAGCGAGGACATAGACGGCACGTAACCACACCACCATATGCATATAGTCAACATTCGATGGTACGTGAACGATGTGGTTCGAATTTACCGTCTCCAGCTCTTTCAGAGCTCGAAGCCGTGCCTCCCACGGCCATATCGGCCAAACTCTACAGACATAGATCAGTGAGGTTGGATAGGAGAGCTGAGAAGTATATCGATGGTTCTCTAACAGCTACTGTGACGTCTAGTTCATGGTGCGATTGCTAGCCTGGTTCTCGTCGGTGGAACGACGCAATACAGTGGAGAGGTTGACTCGGAGGAAGTACTAGCAAAACGGCGACGAACGTGCTCCTGCGGCCCATAATGTCAAACGTTAGTGGACTCGCACAAATTGGACGGATAGATAGTATCTATAGCGACATACCAGCATCCATCATACGAGCTCGACGCCTCCCAGACGAGTGCCTCGTTTATTCGGACGCAGCGCTGCGGTGCCGCCCAAGGAGGCAGTCCCGACACCGGAGGTCGTCGACTCGTCGTCCGTGGCATCATCGACATCTTTCGCAAGAGATAAAGCTATCGTGTTCCATAGGCAGTTATTTATACTCTACTAATAATCTCCTCGCCGCACCTGATAGCACAAAGAAAAGAAGCCCCGCCGTGGGAGGGAGATACCGATATCGCTGCCCTGTCTCGGGAACCCTTCGCATATACTTGGGTAGAGGTTTTGAGGGGACCCTCGCTCGCCATCGCATCGTCTGCTATCGCCGGCGGCGAGCTCGAGCACGGCGACTCTCGCGCCACACGACCGGGCCAATGGGAAATCTTCCCGTAAAGGCAAGCATATATCCGTTTTCGGGAGCATTTCCCACGGTTTATCGCGAGGCCGCCTTCGTCTGCGCCCTGTCTCGCTTTTTGTGCACCCTCCATCATGCATCGTGGTCTATGCCGCGGATGTCCTCAAGGGTTTCTCATACTGCCACTGGCTTCACGAAATTGAATACTGCATACATGACTAGGTGAGCAAATTTCCCGAGACTTGTATTAATCTACGATCGAGCTTCCCGCACGCTCGTCGCTTACTGTATGTCTCTGTTCCTGTATAACGCCACATGTCTGGCTTCCCCGCCTCCCTACTACTGCTCGCGTCGCGCTGCCCCTGTCATCGCTTGTTGACCTCTACGATGAGTCCCTCTATCGTCCTCCCTATCGATATCACACGGCTCGTGCTTACGTCGTGCGTGCACGGCAAGCACATACGGCAAACGTAGACGACGTCAGGCTGATACACGCATCATCGCCTTCACTTTCGAGGCCGACGTATCCGGAAGTGCGCAGAATGAAGCGATACGTTGTCGTCTGGGCGGGCGTCGTCATCTTAAATTGAAGACATCTTGGACGACGTCGGTGAGAGACTATTGGTGAGTATTGGCGAAGAGGCCTGGCCAGAGCCCCCTAACGCTGTTCTTTGACAGGAACATGGAGGCTTTATTACCAGGTGATCATACGGCCGTGACGTCGAGATGGGAGGATCGAATATTGAGTGCTCGGGATTCAGCGTCGCCGGGTCGTCGAGTCTCTTCGAAGTGGTGATGGCGGTACGTCGTCGCCGCACGTCGTCGGGCCTCTGCTATACTGGTGTAATCGCTGCATAGCTTCCCAACCAATGCACCGATAGGCCGGTGCACCGACCTTGCGATCTGGCCAAGCTGACGGCCTGTGGGATGTCGACGTCTCTCTCTTCGCTCGCGGTCTCTGGCTCGCAGATCTGTGATCTGTCAGTCAGCACACGGTCGGAGTCGGGGATGCTGCCTGCACCTTCGCTGGCCAGCTCGAAACAATAACGCTGCAAGCTACTACATAGGCAAGCATTGTGCCCAAGGTGTTGTGCAATTTCCCGCTGTGCAAGGCTAGGACCAGGTGCGGCTACACAACCACACATCTATACATCTATCGACGCACCATATACCACATGCATCGTTGACAAAATCAGCCCGCGTGCACTGACGTCGACATCCTAGGTGCCACCGCCGCTCTCGCCGCGTTCTCGTTCTGCGTTCTGGTTCTAACTTCTATGCTTTGTGTACGCTTGCTATAAGGCCCGTGATACGGATTTCCAGGTCCACGCGTCCTCGCCCCTACCCCTGGGTCTGCTTCGATTCCTGTGCAGGAGACCTGTCTCGTCTTGAAGATATGAACAGACTGTTCGCAGTCGCAGCCGGTCATGATATTGATGATGTCGTAGACGTCAACGTTGCGGTTGATACTGATCCATGTACGTACGTACTCGCACTGCGGCCCCTTTTTCGTTCCCACCCAGAGCCGTCGCCGGGCTCGTCAGGGTCACTGCGGTCTGCCGCGTCGTCAATTGATTGATTAGGGTTCGTCGTCCGAGTAAATTGAATGCAGGGTCGACCAAGGGTCCCTCGAGATTCGAGCGCGCTTGACTGCTTCGAATTCAGCTTGATTGCACCCGGGACGCGTCTACGATGCCGGTCGCCTGTCGAGCGCGGTGCGCGTTCGCAAGCCCCATCTCACCTCCCGCATCTTGCACCAGATTCGATACTGTCTGAGTATCCACATCGTCGTGACTCGCCCTTCCGCCGTGAGCGCCGTCTGGTGCTGTTCCAGCCACTGGGACTGGGCTGTTGGTCGCCGCGTCTCCAGATCTGTGCCGTGCCATCTTCCGCTGGCACTGGGCAGGCGGTGTCCGCGATACGAAGACTGGTATACGTATTGGGGCGCTCTCCGGGTCGCTGGTACTGTGTGAATGTGACAGCAGCTGGCGTGAAACGGATACCTATCCATAGATGTGGGCGTGGATGGTATATTCGGCGGCGCGGTCGTCGAATGTGCGCCGTCGCGACGCGCTATCGAACATCGACCTTCGCCCTTCGAGCTCGGCCGCCGAACTTTACCAGATCCGAATCGAACATCGAGCCGCTGTTGGAACTGGGGATGACCGCATATCATAGAACATCAGGCTCGCAAACCTGTACTGTCGCAAGATGCGGTGAGACTGCACGCGGACTTACATAGGCCGTCCGTCGTCCGTCCCTCTTCCCTGTTCTCGGACTCAGACCTTCCGCCTCCGTGTCCGCCTCAGCCCGTGTGCCGCCCTTCCTTCCTTCCCTGCTGCCTGGCAATCCTTCTCCTCTTCCTCGCCTCCCTCACAGCACACTATCTGTGTTAGGTGCCGGCGCACGCGCACTTACTGTGACACCGAGCAGTCCGAGATCACTCAGCCCAGCGGTCCATCACGGTCCATCGACGCCACCACCGACTCGGACGCCACCAAGGTGCTCACATCCCTTCAAGTTCTCGAACCTCGGCGCGCTGTAAGCAGCGCGGCCACAGGTCTACATCGTTCATAAACACTCTTAGGCGTGCCTCTGCTAGTGGACATTCTTATCTAGATATCCACAGGTCGTGCCTGTCCCTGGTGCCCCTCGCACTGATATTCCAAGCTCTGAAGACTGGACGCGTACGGCTAGCCAGCTCTTCCGCGCTGACGTCGACAGAACCTACTAAGTCTACTACTGACAAGCACGCCGCCGCGCATCCATCACTGTATCACCGCGTGGGACACTAGGGTGTTTAGACTAGAGCTTCCTGGGAGCTCCAAGATTCGGACATAAGCCATAAGCTCAGGCTGAGCCGCAGGGCTGAGCGTTCCGCGATAGAGGCCGATAGACGACTGGCGGTAGTGAATAGAAGTAGAGATAGAGATAGACCTCGCCCTAGGCTGGAAGGGCATTCGAGTTCTGCATCCTTCATCCTACCCAGATACCGCAGCTGTCCGCCCTCTGAATCCGTACCCTTTCGCGCATCGCATCGTTCTTGTGCTTGTTATTGCCATCTGGTACGATTTGTGCTGACGCACGGCCAACCCCACGCTTGTCGCGTCTTCGCTTCCCGCCCCGCACCCGCATCTACAGCTGCTTCTGCAGACTACACCCGCGCTGCGAGAGGGAGACATCGATCCGGTCGCCACGCGCCACGCGCAGAGGAGGGCTGAAAAGCGGATTCGAAGATCCCAGCCCCAGCGCAAACAGTGCTTACCTGCAATAAGGTTCGGAAGACAGACGAGCCGTCGGACGTTGGACAGGCTATAGACTCGGACGTCAGGGAGACGAAGAGGGGCACGGATCGTCGTCGCGCTTTTGTGCGTGTCTTGGCTCACACTTCGCCTTGGGGTTTCTGTTGACGGCGTCGTGCTCGCATTGTTTTGCAGAACGACCGAACGAGAGGACGATCGCGAGGGACACGCGCGGCGGCCCAAGCGCGACATTTGACACGACCGGGATCGCACCGCGGACCCGCTCCCGCTCCCG